TAAAAAATAAAAAAAGACCAGTGATACTCAGTGGCTCCAGAGCACCATTCCCCAATGTGGCATCCACCTGATACGTCAACAGAAGGGGTAAGGCCCTTTCCCAACACAGCCTGTGGTTGGCGGTTGGTTCTCCCACCTTGAAACAGCTGCCATTAGAGGAACATGTAAGCTGCAAGGCTCTCTGGGGTACAGGCCTCATGCCAGGGATAGAAGAAAAGGTGTCTCCTTTGTTGACGGTACCTGTGAATGTGGCTCCCCGCGACCTACATAACGAGTACCATTGTTTTGGGCTCTGCACCAGTGATACGGCTGGGAAACTGCTGGACGATGGCTGGAAAGTTCCAAGTTCAAATCCCCACCTGGCCACAAAGGTACACTGGATGACAACGGAGGGCCACTCAGCTCTCTCAACCTAACCTCCCTCGCAAACACAAAGCAGGGGAACTGACGGTGCCACCCTGATCTCCCAGAAGGAGGGCTGAGATTGAAATGTAGTCAAATACAGCCCTGTTTTGAACAACCCGGTTGAAATACGGACAGCTACAATTTGGGGCAAGGATGTGGTGGGGAGAAGCGCGTCTGGAATTAAATGCACTCCCATATGATGATACTTAAGTGAGAGGCTTCTGTCCCAAGATGCAGAAACCAGGAGCCTAGTGGCGGTGTGTCAATTATGGAAAGGCCAATGGAATGTTCCTTATCTTAAGCTCATGATCTGTCCTGTCCTGAAAGATCCCAAATAGGTCAGCTCCTCATTCAAAGTATGTGTCAAATAAACGCCTCATCTGCAAACTGACGGGCCAGGCAGAAAAGTCTTGGATATATTCTCAGGCTCTAGCAAACTTCTGGGAAGGCAGGAAAGGAGTTAAATGTGGAGCAGTTTCACAGAATGCCTCTCATTGTTACCTTGATGTCTGAACCGTGAGGCATCACGGTTGTGTAAGAGGGAGCTCTTGGTCAATGTTAGGGTGTGCCAGGAGATGAAAGAAAAGATACCAGAGTTTGATTACTCTCACGAGTTACTACTGTTGGTGTTGTTAGTTTCTAAGGTGCCACAAGATTCTTATTTGTTTAGGCTGTAGCTGACCAGCGCTACTATCGCTCTGGATTACTACTACTATATTAAAACAGAAACATAGCGACACCACAGCCTCTTTCTGCACTATGAAGATTTTGCATTCCAGTTTGCTGTTGATTCCTATGGCCTGCGTATGGTCTTCGCAGAGGAATCTGGCTGGCCACTGGGAAGCAGGGCTAAATAGACCTTGGCCTGAACCAGCAAGGCTCGCCTGACATTCTCATAATTCTTGCCAAATGGAGGAATGACTGACCGATTTGTGAAATATCTTGGCATTTGGAGAAACTAAAATCTCTTCAAAAAACCTTATGGCATGCAACTTCTGTGTAAATACCCTTCCAAATGTCAGTAATGCAAAATCTGGTGCATAAAACAAAGTATTTCCTATTTAGGAGAGAAGAAAATTGGATTGACATCATATTTGCTTATTAGCCCAGAATGGCATATTATTAATAACTACTGCAGGGGTTGTTCCCCCCCCCCAGTCAAGTCACAGCCTGTGGGGTTATCAAGGCAAGAGACATTCAGAGGTGGTTTTTGCCATTGCCTATTTCCACAAAACAACCCTCGTATTCCTTGGTGGTCTTCCATCCAAATGCTGACCAGAGCTGACACTACCAGTTTGGTGTAGTGGTTAAGTGCGCAGACTCTAATCTGGGAGAACCGGGTTTGATTCCCCACTCCTCCACTTGCACCTGGCTGGATGACCTTGGGCAAGCCGTAGTTCTGATAAGAGCTGT